CTTCAAAACAAAAATAAATGTATTTTCCCAAATTTACCGTCTGACCCAGGCCTTAACATGCCTGAGTCTGTCATTTAGTTTATTGCTAGGACATTCATATACTGCACAAAGGGGTTCCCCATGTTTTTTTAACTGTTGGTATATGACATAACAAAAGGAAGATTTTTTTTCTGATTTCTGTACATTTTTGAATAATAGAACGTATTCGCATAACCCACTTTTTAAATGCTAATGAGTTTTGCTAATATTCTAATGAGATTGGCACAAGAAACAAAAGAGCGAAAACATGCTTGAGTGATTTCAAAATATTACTATTTTGAGCTCAGTTCAATAAATGCACAATTTCAAACGGAAACATTTTTATTATTAAAGTTAACCAATTTCAACAGTTATTGGCTACAAGATTGAAAATTCCTTGAATGCCAACAGATCGTTTCTTTTAAGCGGTTCATAATGTTGATTTAAATTGTTTTAAATAAATTGGGCGCAAGGGAAGAATTATAAAACAAGCATTGCAGACTTCCACAACCCGTCGATACTAGAATCAAAACCAATTCTGGACAATGAGGTCCGTTTCAAACGTCGATCTTTTGCCGCGTCTAATCTATTTACTTGCATGTAGTTTACGAGAAGTTGAGATAGCTGTATAGCTTAAATAAAAATGTTTCCTTTTGAAATTTTGCATTTATTGAACTGAGCTCAAAATATTTTTGAAATAATATTCGCTACTGAAATCACTCAAGCATGTTTTTGCTCTTTTGTTTCTTGTGCCAATCTCATTACAGTCATTAGAATATTAGCAAACTCATTAGCATCTAAAAAGTGGGTTATGCGAATACGTTCTAATATATCAACTTCACCTGTGTAACCTAAATTTCCTTGAGATAATTTGACAAAGAAAGACAAAGCATGCACTAGGGCAACGACAACTGATGCCCAGTATCAAGGGTCTGATACTTACTTGACCCGTGGATTATGTAAAAATGGGAGGTCACTTTACTTGACCCGTGGATTATGTAAAAATGGGAGGTCATTCTTTTAACAGGGAATGAGAAGGACAGTGAAGGGTTTTACTTCAAGGGAGATACATCTGTACCATGCTATAGGAGAGAGGAACTGTCAATTCCACCAGATGATGACTGGGATAGAGGTATATTTCCAAGATGATACTGAATATGTTAGCATGCATTGCATGTWTCTTACAAAAAAAAAGAAAGTTGAAATAAAACATTCAAATAGCAAAGTTAATAGTAACATTTATGTTGATTACAGATGATGATGATGAAATAACAACACAGCAGAATTTATGTGAATACTACAAAACTAAACAATTGTCCACAAACCAAATATTTGGAAGTAACCAAGCAGTAACCAATAACCAATCAGTCCAAGATATTTTAAGGTATTTCCATSATGCTGATTATAAATACTATTCTAAACTAGTTATCCTCAATCATATGTATATTAAACTTTTTGTGTTATAGTTTGCATCCTAATGACAGAGAAAGATTTAAGAACAGTATGAGAGTTAATGCTGTCCAAAAATATACATGTGGTGTCAATAATGGTAACCATAGAAACTATTGCCATGACAGTTATTCAAATAATCCAGCTTTCCTTGCTAACACACAATACAACGAGTTGAGACATTCACTGACCAGTAGGGTCCATAATGAGACATCATCAAGTAATGGTGAGGGTAGTCAATGCAGAGCAAACATATCTATGAATGGGTTGCCAACTGAGTCATTATCAAGGAACATGCCAGGCGAGGGACATCRTACATTTMGAGGAGCAGGTCGAGCAAGATTGGCAGAGGAAGCAAGAAGAACACAGTTTGGKATTTCATCAAGTGCAGGTAAATAAAGTCTAWAGAGGATGAAGATAATAAGTCTATTAACCTTTCAATTTCTCTAGTCAGACAAGAAGTGTCATGATAATGATGGAGGAGACCCAGATTATTTTTGTTTCTCCAAATTATTGTGCATACTTTTCAGTTGAAATGTCACTAATTAATTAATTGTTCCCTAGTCAGTGAACATACAAAGTATTTGAGTTAATTCTCGTATTTTGTGTACGTGTACTATTGACGTTTTCATGTATCCACCTGGTTTTTTCCTTAAGTGAAAAAATATTTGGTGTTTTTACAGGTTTTATTATTATTTATTATTTTCAGGTTTTGTTGGAAGAGGAAGAGCAATGTTTAATGCACAAAGATAACGTATATATCTTTATACAAAGATAATTTAAACACAGATTGGATATATATTACACCGTTTTATTATAATGATACAATAAAAGTTACAGTTTGCGTATTTAGAGATGTTATTTACATTTTAAAATTCGTGTGTATTCACGTCTGAAAGCCTTATTGAGAGCTCCGTAAATAATCGGGTTTAAAGCACAGCTACCTATTGCACAATATGTGGTAATAATATTAACCTGACGTGGTAGTGAGCCAGGTGTAATATTATTGGCAATTGTGACAAAAAGAACAGGTATCCAGGTAACCAGGTAACCAAGAACAACAGCAAACAGTATCCATGTGATTTTTATTTCTTGTAAACTTGTCCCCGGGCTACCACTGGTGATTGAAGGTCCAACACTGTTTTTGTGGTGACGAATTTGTTTAAAAACTTGATAGTAGCAAAAACAAATGATCATGAAGGGAATGCCAATAAAGACGACCAAGACAAGGTTACCCAAAATCTTAGCTGGTACGTTATTCTCTAGATATGAGAAGGAACACATGATTAGGTTTGGTCTAAATGTTGTATAGTGAAGGTCTTGAGCACCCTTTAGTACCGTTACCACACCCACCACGCTACCAAGCCACACCCATCCTATCATGGCGAAGGTTCTTGGTTTGTTGAAGTAATGATTGTATTTTTGAGGTTTACAGACTCGTACAAACCTATTGAGCGCCATCAGTACCATCATAATTACAGAKATTAAAAGCAGAATAAATGTTATACAAGCTTGGTATTCACACACGATTTCGTCAAACATAAAACGAYTTTTTACACACCAGATCAGTGTGAAAGGTAAACCAATAACTGGCATAAGGATGTCTGTGCTGGACAAAGATAAAATGAGGTAGTTGGTGGCTGTACGAAGACTTTGGTTACGATATATGGAAATAGCAACGAGCAGATTCCCGACAAAAGCCATAACTCCAAGCAATGATAAAGTGGATACTTCTGCAATGATTGTAGCCGTACTGCGGTTCATAAAGACTGACATGTTCTCATCCATGAGTGACATCCTTGTCTTATTCATATCTATGGAGAGAACGATTAAATCTAAACAGCCCTATATCAATAATGTATGTTACCTAGTATGACAAAGTATTGTTAATCAATGACAATATATTGTTACCACCAGGCAATGTATTGCTACCCCAGGCAATACTGTGTATGCCGGAGTAAGATGAATTTGAAGGGGTTTATTGCCAACGCCAGGTGTACTTTAGCTGACTAGTCCAAATAAATGACGGTTTTTTTCTTTGAGTATTGGCCTGMCTGATATCTTACTAAGAACTAAACTATGACTCATATTGACTTTGTGCGGTTTTGTCGTCCACTGATATATTGCACTAATAGTTCCAAGCTAGAGGATGTTACCGATATTGCGCCGTTCACTACAATTCATGATCAGAACAAGGCGTTAAAAAACGGTCAACTACTTTTGAGAACAAAACAGCCTATAGCACTCCAAACCTAGAAAGATATTCTAAACAAATTCCATATGGTTGAATGTAACAGCTCTCAGTCTCATACATCCACACTCTTAAGTAGTCTTAAAAAATAGGCTTACCTCTTTTTCGGTAATCAGTTGCGCACTCTGTTAAGCTACCGCACTAGAACTTATTTTCCGCGATATTACAGTCAAAAGCAGCATAGATTTCATATATACATTGTATRCCGATTGATCTTTTTCAAAGACACACYAGCGTGATGTACAAACCTAGTTTGAAAAGGATAACTGTAGAATTATGCCCTGTCGTCATAGACTCAATAAAAGATATGCTATGTTGATTGTCATTACTTCTATTTTGTGAATGGTAACTTACCAAAGGTCTAGGTACTACGAAGAGCGAGGCAAACCAGAACATTTAGTTCGAGTTAAGTGTGCTTTTACTTCTTCTTTCTTCATCAACTCGATTGGAATAAAATTAAGTTCTCACGCCATTGGTCAGGAGCAAAGTCACGTGTCAACCATTATTCCTTGTGAGGCTCAAATACTTTGACCCACCCTGAAAACAAAAGAAAAATATGAATGCTCTGTCGATTGCTCTGCTCTTTCCGCGCTCTTTATTCTCACATCACTTCTCCGAGCTTCTCTCCAATGACTCGTAGAATTACAACAGGCCCGTAAGCTGGGGGGCTCGGACGACGAGTCTCCATACAAGCTTAAAAGGTCCGGTGTTTCTCTTTTTTTTTTATTGTTCTACTTTAAATTTATTTTGTTATTAACTGCTCATTGTAGCAGCCAGTTCTTTTACACACTATGCCYGTGTATAACAAATGTAGTTTAAAACATAGGAACCCATCCATTCGTGTAAAGCAGCCTGACATTTAAACCTCGATACAAATTTCGTGTAATTTTCCAATGTTCTCAATTGTATAGAACTATCCTTTACTCTTCATTTAAGATGATATTTGAGATTTGAAAGCGTTGACTGACATGCAATTACTRGGGTTGATTGCTCATRAATAAACGTTGTACACTCTCRGGAACACTTCAAAGCGTCTTGACTGAAATACGATCTCAGCGGATTATACAGTTGTTAGACATTCTCGATAATTCTCCACAATATACATATATCTTATGGTAACTGATTTGTTTCCCTAAACAGTTTTGATCAATTTTCTTCCATTACAAATTGGATACATGTATACAGGCGTCTGAAACACTGGTTATTTTCCGGATAGATGTCGAATGTAATGTGTAATTGCAATGATGAACAAGGCATTTCTTCAACAACGCAGAATCAACCGCGGTGGTTGTTTAATATCGGTACATAGGTACCGATGAGTCAGTTTTCGGTGTTGTTATAGTCTGGGAATGATTTTCCTGTTGTACACTAGTGATGGGGAACAGAGAGTCAATTGTCATTACAGATGGGTGCGGTTATCCTGTGAGTTGACTCTTACGTCATAATCAACTCTAAATTGTACGTCATTGCCGCACATGACAGACTGCTAACGAGGAACRCACCAACTGGAACCGCAATGACTCATGACAGATGTCACTTTCTCAAGATTTGTAGACTTTTATCAGATGTCATTAAACTCAACTTTAACTTTTGTAATCTATCTATCTGTTCAATTATGGTCAAATTTAATTACTAGTAAATGCTGAACTTCAGTCTAAATACGTGAGAAAAATCGGCTAGGTGAAAAACAAGTTAGACGAATGAGAGAACAATGCATTAATTCACTTTGTAGGCGTAAACTCAGATAAAGTGCCTAGTATTCAGTATAAACKTGATCATTTTCTAATCATCATCATTCACGTAAACTACCCGTTTTTATCATGAGCACAATCTCATTGTAAACACTCAACGAATTAATTACAAGATCACTACATGATGTTTTACCGGGCGGCTTGCTTGCCACAGCCAGACATTATACGTATTGTGGTTTACCTTCAAATAAATTAGTCAACAGAAAAAAGATTACCATTAGTCCTGGAGAAGTCTACTTATTTTCTATTGATGGCTACTTGGTTTCAATTCTCACGAACGATCGTCTGTACCTCAAAAACACGTATTGTCCGCACGCTCACACAGTGACGTCACAGCCCTACGGTCAAAATCATCGACACCCTCTTTCTTCACTCAGTTATTATTACCACTAGTTGGAGGTGCATCCTATCATCACATCAACAAATACATTACAGTCAAGAGTCGAGAAGCAGCATTGTTACAACAGTTCAGTCAAACTGCTGTTTTATAGAGAGCTGATTTATTAATCACAGTTTATGATTGACGATCAATAATTCCCCGATAGCGTTATTGTAAGGTGAGTTATTTAGACACTACAGAAGACCGAATCAGACGAACGAGTTGATCTTTTGTTCGTTTTTATTTTTTTGCTTTGATAAATGTCATTATACCGCAAACCAATGCAGTGCAACGAAATTTAGTGCATTTATGACTGTATCAAAGTGACATGAAATGYACTGTATTCACGCCATGATGCATTAATTTTCTYGTTAATTTCGCCTTGATTCAGGCATAAAGAAAGATCCATTTAAAGTGCGATTGCCACAGGGTATACTTTAATTCAAAAACATTTAAGACCGGTCTTGCCTGTCATTGCCAGAATGAGTCTTATCTACCACAAACTTGTAATGTTTTTCCTTCAAGCGGGCCTTCGAGTAAAATAGCATACATATGAACATCTGATGTTTAACTTATAAGCAAACAGAGTGATCTCGATATAATGGACGCACAAAACAACTTTTAGCCGCCATGACGTCACCATAGTGAATTAAAAAGGCATTATGTGAAACAGATAGTCTATTTTGAAAACAAAATCGTGCTTTCGACTATAATCCCATGTCCGGAAAGAAAATAAGAAATGTTGAGGGACGCCATATTTGCCCAGTATTTAAGTAATTTAGACGAAACATAGTGCGTAATTTCCGTGGTAGTGTCACATTATATTGTATTTTCAGTTGTAGAAGATTTCCCTAAATCTAAAACGAGAGATCAAGGAAGCACCTGCCACTGAATGAACGAGGCATTATGACAAAATAACTGAGAAAAGTTAATCAAAGAGAAAAAAGCTGCCTAATAAGCTTCTTGAACAAATGACACAAGCCGTAAGGCAGTCGGAAGTGCATCCATTGTTGTTAATGTACTAAATACACTAAACGAGTCACTTTGACGAGAACCTTTTATCATTCGATGGCTTGAAAGTTCTTTTCTCACGTATTTTGAAGTTTGTTGTTTTGTATCAATCTCCGAAAGCGATTTTTTTCAGATAACCGTGTTTTCCATTCAGTTTCTGTTATACCTAACAGAATCGTTTTTTTTTTCAGTAGTATAATTGTTCTTATTGTATGCGCGCTTTAATGAACTAAATCTATTTTCAGAGATGAATAACACTGGTTCCCAATCTCCTGGAAAACCCCAGATGATCACGTGGTATTGGGTGATAAGAGGGATAGCGTCTTTYACTGCAACAGTTGGCAACACCCTCGTGATGATTCTTATTCTTCGATGTCGTAGGCTCAGAGTATCAATYCCTAATTGGTACATATTTGCCCTGGCTCTAGCCGACATGATGGTTGGTGCTATTTTAACCCCGTGTGAATTTATATGTACCTACTGGTATTCGTGCGACCCGTACATTCTCAGACTTACCTTTGATATCATCGTTCATTTTTCTGTAACAAGTTTATGCGCCATGACATTTGAGCGTTTTATGGTGATCGCACGACCACTGCAGTACCGCGACTTTATGACCAAGAAACGAGTACTACTGATTCTGTTTTCAAGTTGGAGTTTTGGCGCCATTTTCCCTATMACAGGATACATTTGTATGGCACAACAAAAGCCGGTCGCTGATAAAACATTGAGAATAATGAACACCATATTTCTGCAAATTCTCCCTCCAATAATGCTGATGCTTGTGTTTATTTCAATGGTGTATATTGCCAATAAACACGAGAAAAAGGAAAGAACACAACGAAATCAGCTGAATTACAATTACGCTGGTGAGGAACATAAGGACAGATCTAGACACATTAGAGACAAAGCATCTGTCAAGATGATGGGCGTGGTCATTATTACCTTTGCAATTTGCTACATGCTAGCAATGTTTCGCTCTTTGTATTTTTACATCATGAACAGAAATATTCCAATAACCGTTACATATATATCCCGAATAATGATACTCGTCAACTCTACTGTTAACTTTATAGTGTACGCTTTCCTTAAGAAGGACTTTAGACAGGAAATTGGACGAATATTTAAAGCGTTCATTTCTCGCTGACTCTATTATAATGCCTGTATTTATTTATTTATTGTGTATTTTATAACATAACTGAAGTAATGCAAAAATAAAATGAAGTGCATTTCTCACGTTCATTAAGTCCAGAAGTCAAATTAAATGGAGACCATATTCTTTAAAAAAGACACTTACTTGATAATTTGAGAATTTAATAAAGGGAATTTAATTTGGATGATTGTCAAGTAACTTCTAGGTGAACCCGCCCTTGGTAAATACTGCAAACTCCCCTCCCCCTAGCATGACAACTCATATACATGCATCAGGAGTTTCGGAGAACAATGCDTCCGCCATCTTGAAAAGTGAGACTCAAATCACTAAATTATAACTCCTAAAGAAATTATAAGGTTCTAAGTTAATGTAAATTTAATATAATATACGTTATGATGATAGATTAGAGTGGTTCTCATTAACCCGTGAAACAAAGTATAATAGTCAAAGTGTAATAAAGTGTAATAGCCAAGAAATATAATAGAAAACAAAAGATACAAWGTGTAATAAAGTGTAATGCGCTAAAGCGTATTTCACGGGTTAATGAAAACCACTCTAGTTGACTAAGCAACTATGAAATTTGTTCTRAGGCAAAACAGTGATTCAGRGCCCACTTTTCAAGATGGCGGACACATTGTTCTCTCTGAAACTCCTGATGCATGTATATCCAACACACTAGAAATTAATGGTAAGTTTTATCAAAATCATTCATATACGCATATCAACAGTAAATTATTGTACGCCCAATGTTGTAAGTAGTTTATTACGCACTATATACTGATTTTACAATAACTCGTTGTCATCCTTGCGAAAGGGAATGTCAAATAACTACCACAATTTCTAAGAAGACTTAAAAGATCTGGTCAATCAGATCAGATTACATGATTGTTGTCGAGTTTCAAAAATTTGAAGAACCTATCATTAAAAAGTTAACTTAATTAATAGGCATTCCATTAGGTTAAGCTTTAGATAAGCCTTTAACAATGAGCACCAACAAATTACGATACATTCGTCTAAGTTATGGTAAGATGAAAATTCAAATATTACGGCTTTGCCTAATAAAACTATGACTTGCTAACTAAGTTATGAAATTTATATTACCTCATGAACGCACACATTTTACTTTAAATAGAATTGTTCCTTGTAAGTCCACTATCATGCTCAWATCTCAAACTGATACTAAATTTCTGTTTCGTCTGTGGGGGGCTTTTGCTCGTCATCCGCACTAAAGAAATCTAAAACCCCCTTATCGTTGGCAAACATTTCTTTAATACGTCGTTGTTTTTCATCTTCATCTTCATCGTGCTGAATGGTTGTCGTCTCTACTCTAGTGACCGTGTCGCCATCACTAGTTTCGGTTACTGTTACTGTACGTACTTCCGTATGATGGGACGTGTCACTGGAATCAGGTTCGTCGACGAACACTTCTGTCGTTGGAGACTTCAAATCATCAAACATTTCAGAATTGGCCGTTTCACTGCTAAGATATTCTGAAATCCTTCCGACAGGAGATTCGCTACGAGGAGGCGACTCGCTRCGAGGAGGTGACTCGCTACGAGGAGGTTCTGAGATTCGTTCGACCAAAGACTCGCTGCGAGGTGACTCTACGGCTTCGCTTGTCCGAGTAATAGTCGTCTCAGTGATGGTGATGGGTCCTTTGGAGTAGCTGCTGTATGCTAATCGCTTGAAATCCACGTCCTCACGATTGATGTTTTTCAAAGCCGTCTCTAGTTTAGGCATGTCAGGCTCAGGTTCTTTTGAATCACGCCATGTCATGAGCACTTCCTCTGCGCACTCATGAGGAGATTCATCCCTGTTAATCACGTGACTGGCATAAGTATTCATTGACATCATGTGACTAGTAAAAAACTAAAGGAAATAACACGGGTCCAACCATCAAAATCAATCACTATTACTTACAGTTACGGCAGTACAAAATGACTTAATAAGGATAGTATGCAAGCAGTCTACATATCAAGAATTTACAATCTTACGGGCCCTCTTATTGGTCCAAAAGATTGTTTTWGTACTAATGAATCTGATTGGTAGATACCAGCTCATTCTATTTGATTACATGTACATGCAGCAATTTGTACTCACTTTTTATTGGCTATTTCCTGAAGTTCATCGTCTGTAAATCCTAACTCTTGACCCAAATTTCTCCAGTCATTTGCAGTCTCCAGAGCTACAAGTGACAGCAAGGAGTCTGGGCGATAAAATATGACGGTAAGTCATAAGTAAAAGAAYATTGTTACCACTATGATGCACGATAAATATTAACAAACAACATTATTAGCCAGTGTGGTAGTTGCTGTTCAAAGAATTCATAACTTTGGGTGTCTGACAACCTCATGCAGAGTTTTGTATATTCAGAAGAATATTTAAAAACAATCATAAATCAATGGTCTTTGGAAAAGTCTGACATTACGTGCTCAAGCAATGATGTCATAGTTGAACGATGTTTGCCATCAAAGGACAATTCACCAGTAGACCTTAGCCAATCAGAAGCAGGATATACATTTTAGATTAATAATGATGATAACTGTTAGTAATACCTGGGAGCTTTCTAAGACCGATATCTCTCTTCAGGTCCTGAAAGTAATGACGATATCACACTTAGTCCAATTAACCTAATTTTAGAGTCTAATCGAAAATTCAGTGAAGGCTTTCAGCGACGACAGTAAACCGAGACACAATGTATTTCTAGTCAGAGGCTACATTACCTTTTCAGATAGGTTGATGTTAAGATTGCAGATTGTCTGAATGTTGCCTTGCCTGTCTTTCTTTGGTTCTTTAAGGAATGCCAATCTACAGTTCATGGATTGGCTTGGGTCTGTAGGGCGTACTGCTACTGACAATCGATTTTCTCGAAAAGCGAAGAAATTCAAATGCATCGGTTCTCGATTGACAGGAGTCATGTTGCCAAGGCAACGGATATGAATTGGCCGACCTTCAAATACCTAAAAAGACCAAACATATGGTTAAGAGCACTTCAATAAAACAATATATACTAAGTAGAATACTACAATGCAAAGGGTTTTAATGGTACATATCTAGTAAAAAACAGAATACATGAAACAATACACGCTAACATTACCACACTAACCTCTACATCTCTGCTTCTTGCAACTTCAACAAATCCTGTTTGTCCTTCCAGAGTCTTGTCGACCTTGTCGTCAGTGATGCAAAATATTCGTAGACGCGCTTCTGTTCCATCGGCTGACAGCTTAGCAAAAACCACGAACTTAGCTAAGTATGGTACAGCCGACAGCTTGCGGTAAATTAACCGTGCATCAGTAGTGACATTATCTGGGTTCCTGGTTTCAATCAGCCAGTACCTAAACAAACAGTAGGAACCTAGTCATCGACTCTAAGAACGCCACAAGAGAGAATATTTGTCTTCAAGCGCAACAACTGATCCACATTACAGGTGTTCCCCTTCCAGTGTTGGAAGAGTCATTCCGTAACGTGGACAATAGGATTATATGACAATTCATCAAGGATTCTCATAGCCTGATAAACATTTGCTRTTCTATACTATTACACTTCTCTAATAGAGCAGATTTCTATATTGCGCAATAGCCGTAYTATAGTCGTGAATGTTTCCCCGATTTAGTGTTTATATTGTTACCAAGTCGGGTTGCATATATACCTTGCTGGTCTATTGATGGTAAATGTGGCACTATCCCCCATAACTTTTAGTGGAGTACTATCGGTTATGTCTTGCCACTGGTAACTGGGCGTTTTGGGTTCATTAGTCGTATCCTTAGGAAAGCAGCACAACAAACGTAACGATGGCTGAAAGTCAACGTTTGAAGAACCGGAATACACAGGGCATGGTATAGCTACTGTAACTGGCTTATTAAACGTGATGTTGTTGGGTTCCAAAGTCAATACAGGGCTAACAGTCACCCACTCTTCAAGGTTGTTGAAACTTTCATCAACGGGTTGCACCTAATAAACCAACAGAAATAAATTGCTTGCTTTTTTTCTCGTAATTGGACGGATATTTTCAGCATTTACCTGCATAGAGATTTTTGTTCCAGAAGAGACAGCCCCTTCAGGTATAGTGACCCTAACTTTACCTAACACTGCTGACTGCATGGTTTCTCCACGGGAACCAACAGAAAAACTTTCTTTCTTGAGACGAGAAACAACTGCAAAGCGCTCGGGGAGCTCTCTTGTAGTGATTTTTGTGTAGCGCTTAAGAGAGAAGCTAGATTCTTGTGATTCATCTTGATATCCATCCATATCTAAATGCACAAAGTGACAAATTATTGATACATCATATATATGGTCCCTTCAACCACTACATCCATGCACATCAATTACATACATATTATATACACTTCTATGTAAATATACAAGAAGACAATGAAGAAATAATATTGCAATGAAAAGATGCTAACCCTTGTTATCTTCAATGCTAACTTCATCCCAGTTCCATCCACCATCATCAGTCTTCATGACGACAAGTTCACGTTCACCATCTCTAATTGAGGCAAAATGTGGTACTTGGAAGTAGATAGGCTGTAGGAACTTTGTCCCAGTGGGTCCTACGTCAAGTACTCTGCATGCCAGTCCTTCTCCTTCGTGGATTGGAGGGAGAAGTGTAGGCTTACTCAATCTGCAAATTAGACATCATCTCCATTGTCATCATTATCAATAAGTTTTTTTTAATGTCTGTTGTTACCTTAGCAATCTACATGTGATTCTATTAGGCATTTGACAAGAGCGTGGAGGAAGCACTACTTTAATACCAGTCTGYGTACTCTCCATTTTACCACCTCGCGCATCAACATTAAAACTGACCAAGAAACCACCAGTGACTGGAGGTTCATACAAAGGCACATTGTCCACCTGCATGTCAGCCAGGCTTGATGGTAGTTCACACTCAACAAGGCCTCCTTCTATTGCTGTKATCACCTCAGATGACTCCTGCAAGAGACATAGCATAAGTCAAACATAGAATAAATAAAACAAATATGCACATGTGACTTCACCTGTAAACTAGTGGATAAGTTAAGGTCAGAGTACCGACTGTGATCCAGATCAGAAGCACGAGAACCAGTCAATGGTGTGCCATCTTGAAAGAAGCCAGAATATCGAGTAGAAAAGATGCCTGAGTCTCGTCCTGCCTTTTGGGCGGATGCCTTAATATCAGAATCTTCAGAAACTTCTACCATGTCTTCCATAGTCATGAACCGGTCATAAGCTTCTTCCTTTACTTCTAAAAGGGTAAGTATACTATTTAGACTACTATCGAATGATGACAGCAAATTACTTGAATAAGAACTGACCTTGCTTGCCACATGAATATCAGTTACATTGTGCAAGTGAAACAACTAGTACAATGCTTAAGTGACAAGCATGTTAATTTGTCCATGATTGGTCATTCAATGAYGCATGAACAGCATGATTGGATTGTTGCTACTTGCGCGTAATATCATGGGAACAATCTAATCCATTCACATTGTTAAAAATAAATAGCTGTGAGCTTTTTTTCGAAMCGTTTTGTAAAGATTTTGCACCATGGTAAAGAATGGCACATAATTCTATAAATCAGATTTAATAGTAATGCCAATATATGYATGTTCTGTGTTTTTGGTTAGTAATTGTCTCAAATTTTAATGAATAAATGGGAATATATAATATAATAATTTCAAATATACTTTATCTAAAGGATGCAAACATTTCTCAGATAATCAAGTCGGAACACAGAGAATAATACCTATTTGATAAAACGAGCAAGTATCACAATCAAGAACAAATATGGCACATATGACATGGTAATCAATGGCATACAGTGGCATTTGCGAAGAACTGTGTATTGTGTCAAGTGAAAGTGTTTGATACAATGTATACAATGTCGTGTATAACAATGTGCTATTTTTTGTTCTCTGGCTTGTCTGGACCATGCCACTAAGATGCGCTGCACTGCCATCGATAACAGCAAACTGATTAAAAACAGAGTACGACCCAACAAACCTGAGGCATATAACACTTATCTCAGTAAATATGATCAATATGATAACATATCATTACAGGCAGATACCTTCTTCATCTTCGTGTTGTTCCACTTCATCCATCATTTCTTCCACTTCAAGTTCTTCTGGTTCTGCACTGAATGTTATCTCTGGTTCTTCCTCTCCTTCTTCACCAGGCTTCCTTGTTATTCTGATAGTTTGTGTGATATGTGTGACCTTTGACAGTATTTCCACAATATTCGTATTATGATGCACTGTTTGGGCAATGTACAGAGCTGAATAGCCTTCCTGAAATTATGAAATTATTCTCAAAAGGTGAATACATGGTTTAGTTTTTCTTGAAAAACAAAAATTGATAAATARCATAATTTTGGATTTACATTAGTCAGGGCATCTGGTGGAGCATTTCTCAGCAAAAGTATTTCAATGATTGTCTTATGTCCATACTGAGCAGCAAGGTGAAGTGGTTGATATCCATTCTTTGTTGCAGCTTCAATATCAGCTCCTTGGTCTARTAGCAGCTCTACAATCTCCCAGTGACCATACACACAAGCAATATGCAATGGTGTAAACCCACTAACTGTCTGGGCATTAATGGGTGCATTGAATCTCAGCAGTAGTTTGGCTACCTCTACTCTGTTCTCACGTGCAGTCAGGTGAAGAGGAGTTAGTCCATTCTGWGAAACAATAAGTAAACTATATTTCAAGGACCAAAAACATGCGCATTAAAAGATATATAACATATAACTTATATACAGAATAGAAAACATAACAAAACACATTTAATATCTTTGTTTATTACAAATGGTCTCACATTAGTTGTAATTCCTGGCGAGGCACCATTATCCATAAGAAGTTGACACATTTCCACATTGCCTTCCTTTGCAGCAAGATGAAGAGGGCTTATTCCAGTCTAAAAGAAATCAGATATTACCAGATTGATAATATGTACATACAACAAGTGGACAACAAAACACTTACTTGTGTTACAGTGTCTGGCTCAACGCCACGTTCAAGCAAAGTAGTGGCAATTTCTTTTTGATTTTTCTTGGCTGCAATATGTAATGGTGTAAACCCATTCTATGATCCAAATTGAAAGAGTTATTAATGACGGTTGAACAATGGCAATAACAAAGCTGATTTTAATTGTACCTTAGCCTTAGCATATGGTGAAGCATTATTGTCAAGTAGAATCATAGCAATGTCTGCATGATCATAGTGTACAGCAACATGTAGAGGAGTTAGACCATGCTGATGAACAAACAGCAAAATTAGTTTCAAATGATGAACAACTTTATCATTATAAACATACTTTCCCTTCAGGATCAGGTGTTTCATAGTATTTGAGTAGCATGTTCACAATATGGACATGMCCACGCCTAGCAGCTTCATGTAGTGGAGTGAATCCTTTCTGTATTCAGGTAAAAGAGGTTTTAGCAGAATATAAAGAAGAGTGAGAAGCATTTCAGCACACACCTTAGAGAGGAGATTGACATTTGCCTTATGCTCAAGTAAAGTAGCTACCAGTTCCTCATCACCTTCTCGGGCTGCAATATGCAAAGGTGTACACTTGTTCTGTAAAACAACAAACATTTGATTCTCATTTTGAATAATCTATAACAAGGAACACTCAAACTTCATTGTAGCATTATTTCATGTTTTTATTTCATGTAGTGTAGTTATTAATTGTCAGTTTATTCAGTTATTATTGTCATTTTATTATAATTATACCACCCAAAGAACCAATACCTTGTCCACTGAATCAGGTGAAGCTCCTTGATCAAGCAATAAATTGGCCATCTCAAGGTTTTTTGTTCGTATAGCAATGTGAAGTGGCGTTTCTCGATCCTGAAACAATGATTATTTCAGTCAATTAACCTCTTATGATTACATATTGTACACATAGAGTACAGCAGGGCTACCTGTGTCTTTGCATCTACTGCTGCTCCATTCCTCAACAGCAAACGAACAATAGTAATTTGTTTCCTGCGGCAGGCAATGTGGAGAGCTGTTTCTCCTCTCTAGAGTGCAAAAATACAACAAAGTTCAGTATTTTAGTATGTTCAGGATACAATACATTATSCACAATAATTATTTACAGTAAAATGTTAGCAAGGCTCATGTATTTCTTGAGTTGATCTTTTAGTATTTAACCTTTAGTTTACTTAAAAACCATGAAAAGAAATGCATTTTATAATAAATCCTTACTACGTTAGTAATATCTGGTGATCCTCCATGCTGTAGTAGTATCAAGACCAAGGTGACATTACCGTAGTAGGTAGCGACATGCATAGGAGTTTGACCACCCTAATAATTCCCAATAAAACATATTCTTATTAGAAGGTTAACAATAGAGAAATGCAACAATATTTTTGAATTTTGATGTAGTCAGACCAAAGTATTTTGTAATCAMAGTGATAAATTACAAACAATCTATCAAAATACATACTTCATTAGCAGAGTGAACGTTAGCATTGTATTTCAGAAGCAACTGAATAACTGGCTCTCTGTTCTTTTTACATGCCACATGCAATGGAGTGAAGCCATTCTGTAGTAATAAACAGGACATGAGTGTAAATTGCAAGGACTTGTCATATTTAAGAATAACTTTGACAACTAACCCTAGCTCTCGCATCAGTATCTGCACCTTTGTCCAATAACAACTCAGCAATATCAACATGCCCATAATGTGCAGCAATATGGAGAGGAGTCAAACCATTCTACAAGAAAAGCACAAGAATGACACCTTTATCCATAAACACTGAAAGTAGTCTCAGGTACTTACAGTTGCTACAGCATTGACAGGAGCTTTGCTATCAATCAAAATTGCTGATGTTTTGACATGATTGCCTTGACAAGACATGTGCAAAGGGGTGAGTCCATGCTGTTGATAAACCATGCAAGATTATACATGTAATCAAATTTAGAGTTTAGTACAACTTAAGGCTCAGCAAACCTTGGTCCGTGATGTTAATGATGCTCCTTTCTGTATCAAATACTCAACAACTTTTTCATGTCCATCTCTTGCTGCGCAGTGCATTGGTGTTAGACTGTCCTATAATGGCATCAGGTACAATTAACAGGTAATTGTGACCAAAACTCACTGTAGTGCGATAAATTAAGATATATTGAAAATACTTAATAAATCAAATTGCCTTGCTCAACAAGTCACTTTACTTACTTTGTTTGGAATGTCAACCTTAGCACCTTTCTCCACTAACAAGGTGACAATGTTTAGATGACCATATTTGGCTGCGACATGCAGTGGAGCAATAATGTAATTCTACAATAAATTTAATTCAGTTAATTTTAGCTTTGTTTGCAAACATGGGTTATTCTGATATTTACCTTGGTTGTATAGTCAATAGAWGCACCATTTTGGATCAAGATGTTAGCAACATTAGCATTACCATATTTAGCAGCAATGTGCAAAGGGGTAAATCCATTCTAAAAGTAAGAGAAAACATGCCTCAAAAACACATTTGATTCCAATTGAATGATAGCAGTGACTTTGTTGTTCATGTAATATTGGTTTGCAATGGTAAATCAAAAATAAGGCGCCAGTATTTACCGGTGCTTCAACATCTGGGGGATGTCCTTTTTGCAACAGCAACTTGGCAGCTTTAGCAAAGTCTTTTCTTGCTGCAGCATGTAGTGATCTGTAACCTTTCTGTAATGCAACACAATTTGTTTTGCAATGTTTTTATTATTTATTGAGAATTCTCTGGCAGAACATTATAAGTCCATAGACAAATGTTAAAGCTAAACAACCAACAAGATCAATTAAATATGACATAACTATAAATAGACTATAAATAAAATCAGGAAAATATAGGCATTCAGACCTTGGAGTCACTATGAAGTAGAATCGCTACAACTTTGTCATGTCCCTGTTGAACAGCCACATCAATTGGTGTAAACCCATCCTATAATAACAAATTGGATTTATCATCAAATTATATATAATKATGGGATTAGGTACATTGTACTACAATCCCAGACAAAACTGTTKAGACATTTCTTAAAATAGGTTGAATTTTGATGATCTGTCTGCATATTTCTGTGCAAATCTCCCCTTTTCCCCCTCAATTCAATGTTGAAAGGACTGAACAATCATGCACAGCCTTCTAGCATCACGGCATACACACAACATTGTTTGGTGGGGGGAGGGGARGATCAAAATCAGTGATTTTTTAGAGATAGGAGAAATGGTGATATTTTGGAGTTAAATAATGGCAGTGTCTCAACAAGTTTTGTCCGGGATTGTAGCATGTGAAATTTGTGACAATTTTGAAATATCACAAGTGGTATTTATCCCAAATTCCACGTACAAAACATTCTATTAGCTGTTCATAAGATGGTTGAATAAAATTGCACAATTTGAAATACCACAATTAAGGATAAATACTACTCCTCTAAGCCAATCAAATTGCACAATTTCATTCAACCACATTATAACAGTAATTACATGATAAAACCTGATATTTCATTAACATATTTAGTACAGCCTTTTGCAAAAATTATGAGAATTGTCTAAATATCTAAATATCATAATATCCATATTATACATATATTGTCCGGAACACGCGGGTTTGCTAGAATAATTCATTGTTGACATCRAGAAAATGCTCAGAACTACGGATAAGTCTGTCGCCAAATAAAAACTAAACTACAAAGACAAGGGACTAAGAGCATCGCGCGGGATTACCCATCGGCATTCACTCGATATTATGATATTTAGATATTTCGACAATTCTCATAATTTTTGCAAAAGGCTGTATACAATTGTATATTATAGTACAATAGTAAATCATAATCCTCACCTCTGTGGTTACTTGTTGGTTACCATCATTATTAAGCAGTACCTTGACTACATCACTATGACCTTCTTGAGCAGCCATGTACAGTGGTGTGAACCCATTCTAAACAAAATTACAAGTTAGTTGTGAGCCCTATATGATACAAAAAAGTACGAACATAGYCAAAGCTGCTGAGTGCAGATCTAGTTCATTCTACAATGCTGCTCAAGGATAACTTTCAATGCCTATATGATAGCTTTGACCTTCTCCCTTAAATGACAGATSAAAAACTAGCTACCCAACAATAATAGCTGGGTAACCACACAATATATTTGATTATCACATTTCATTTTTGCACTGAGTATCACTGACTCAACAGGCAATAAATGTCCATAATAACATATAGAATAGCAATTTACCTGAGCTTTAGCATTCACAGCTGCATTATTCTCCAGCAACACTTCAACAGCTCCTCTTTGTCCAGCCAGAGCTCCAATGTGAAGTGCTGTATTTCCTTTCTGGATTAGAAGAAATAGTAATTTATCAATGTATATCACGGTCGTAGCAAAAATGTTCAGAATAGTCCAATTAGCCCAGCATGAACAACTCAGACTTTAAAATGAGTAATTTATGGTTATTGTCATAAATCTTGGTTGAACTTGGACCCACAGTACTGGTGGTTCTAACCCGCATAAGATGTACTCCATGTTAAATAACATTACCTTAGTCGTTGCATTTACATTGGCTCCTCTTTTCAATAAGTCAGCCATAACTTCCAAGTGACCTTCCTTGGCAGACAAGTGCAAAGCATTGAGGCCATTCTGGAAAAACAATTTATGAGATACATCTTTTAAATTTGACAATTTTATTTGAAATACCCTTATGCCACTGCATTGGATTGCTAAAACAGCTCTACTGTTTCTTTCAGTACTTACAGCATTGCATGTATGAATGTCGCCCCCATCATTCAAAAAATTGATCACTTTTTCAAGGTTGCCAGCTCTTGCAGCTCGTAAAAAGGCAACATCAATCTGAAAATTAAATAAATTTCCTTAAATACAGTCAATACCACAGATGACATAATAATTCTAATGCATAGAAACACAAATATTCATAAAAAATGGAGTAAATAATTTTCAAGAACTAATCTCACCAATATGAATATCTAGACTTATCTTTTCCAAMAGGATGAAAGTCATAAATCATTAAAAACATGAAAATAAACACATACATGCATCCACATGTTTTTAACAAGACTTAGTACACTTCATTTTGATTTAAAGGAGCTTAAAAAATCTCAATAATATATAAAATGGATAGCATGGTAGAATGTATGTAAGATGTGGCATGTTATGTTAATAAATTTACATCACTGAAATCCTTCAGAAAAGATCTCATGATATCAAACACTGCCTCTCAAATAATTGCTGAAGTTAAACAGCACAGTGCAGTTATTTGCAATAAGTAGAAACAGGGTATCACAACAAAGCAATATGCAAAATGAGTTCTTGCACATTAATATAATAATGATTTACTTAAATATAAGAATACAGCTGACAATAATTTAGATAATCTCACAACTTCCTTCTAACATTTCTACTTTATTTGCAAGTGATCTCATAGCATAAATCAAGATAACTTCCCTAGCTGAGTTATAACAGCCTACAATATGATGGCCACAATTAAGCAATGGATATATATAACTATAAACATTCAAATCCCCATTGAACTGTGAAAGGTAATGTAAATGGAACTACATGTTGTCAAAAGGTGATGCAGRTAGTGTTTGTAAGGTGTGGTAAAAGTACGCCCCCACATAGCAATTATTATTTTGAGCAGAAAACAAATAGTTAACGATATTTAGAAATAATAAAATAAACATTATAGCAATAATAAGGTACATGTGCTATTATTGAAAACCTTGTTAGTAGCTATCACAAGATAATACAAGAAGGCATTGCGGATCCCGAAACATTTGAATATCAATATTATAACCGTAAAACACACCAAAAAAAAWTCTTCAATTCTTCAATTATTGCACAAGAATATATATGAACCATACAATCTATTGGCTTGGCGTTTGGAGTGACTTCACACCTACTACGCACGACACATCTAAACAACTCGACAATTTCAATGCATAGTTGACAAAGAACGATTGCAGATACCACCAAACATTTAAACATCTCTCTACAACCCATATAAATTTATACCGAAATGGAGAAAAAGCTTTTAGGGGCTGGAGAATTCGGAAATAATCGCTGACAAATTGACGTGACGGCCCAGACGCCATGATTTAGTCACACTGACTCGTATTTTTCTGCACAGTACGCAACACAAATTGAGTGCTGTTTTAGCTATTTGGATTGCATACAGTTGATTAAATATATTTCAAGTAAATATATGAATGAAGTGCACAAAGTCAAAATATAGCGACATTAACAGTTGTGAAAAGCACACGATACAAAGACTGTTATACACCAACCTGATTCAAACCACTAGACTCCTTCATACTGTATTCGATATAAGACAAAAGAGGACCAAAACTGTGCCACCAAGTGATACTTTAATGCAGACACTATTACAGCATTACAATCCGCAGAAACAGACGGAGAGAGAGCGTCAAATGATGTTTTTTGAAGCCTCTTTTCGCTCGTGTTAGAGTGTACAGAAAAGGGCGAGGTAGAACGCATGCGCGTTAGCGAAAAAACAAAGCAGCCGGGCCGAAAATGAATAAATTCATAATAATTTTCCACATTAYTTTTACCCGAATTAACTACAAATACGGGGCACTCACTTTCAAAAGCTTTTATAAAAGCTGGCCAATTGCAATGAGCGAAGTCAATTCTAATAAACTAAATTACCAGCAATACAAAACACGTTCAGCTTGCAATCAGTGTAGAAGTCATTTCCCCCTCATGTTTTGAATATTATGCGGTCAAATCCTAAGATATCAAATTTTATTTATTCGTATAATCTACTAGTGTTAGAAATTTGTCAAAAGCCATTTAAATGCTGGAAGCCTTTTCGTGGTTGTGGCCACGTGCACCGAACAAACATTAGACACACTTCTAGAGTCCTTGCATTAACTAATTGTGAAAAATCTATGATGCGAATCAAAGATGTCTAGATCCTTAGATGCCTACTACCGAGCAATATTTTTTTCATTTTATATCTTAGGCTCGTCGATTCTGATTAACAATATAATATAGTGAAGCGAGAGGTGGAAGGGGCGAACATACCTGAAACAAACGCTTTCAAAATAGAGGACAAAGAGAGATTTGACGTGGCTAACTTGCGACCTTTCCCAAGAAGCCAAACAAACAAGCATAGTTAATCGATTAACTATGAAACAAGGAAAGAAGGAAACGCAACAAGTGACAACAAACAGTAACAAACAGTTTATCAAAAATAATCTAATTATACTGTTTTCGGTATTTTCTAAATAATTTAATATGACTAATATCAGTTTAGAAAAAGAAGCATTGCCAAATGTATAATCGGTTTTTTTTCTTCTTAGTATGGCTTACATAGTTTAAAGCATTTGACGTTTCGACCGCAAAGAATTAACAAAATGCACGTTATCTCGCGTGCAAGATATGTTGTCCTTTTACACACCCATTTCTCCTCTGGATTATTGGGTAACATGAAAACTATGAACAAACAGTTAATGACAAATTTTCAAAGTTCAGTTGTTGAAACAAAGAGATGTCAGAGATCCCCTGTGGACCTTCGCAAAACAAAGAGAAGATGTCCTGACGGAGAATATCCCCTTACCGCCCAGATGGCGAGATCTTTACATGCTTTTTAAACCTTTAAGTTGAGAGTAAAACCAAACGAAACATGAATAAGCCTCGCTTGCTCGATTAAACCATAATATGACGGTATACCTCCGTAAGAATCAATGTAATTCTCAATTGAAAAGAACTCACCAAAATATCCCGCATGTTAATGCCTTCCTTCGAGGCTGTTTGGATTTAGTGGCGTGCCCAACGGCTTAACCGTCCTACATTCAATGCAAGATGTTCATGGGCTGTGCAAAGCACATCACTCAGGCAGGTTGAAGGTATTGTTAGAGCTCACAGCGATAATTACTTCATTTCGGACGGCAGCTTCGCCCGGTGAATAGTGTGTGAAGGCTTATCCATCGGCGAGTGTATGACGTCGGGATGTTAATGATTGACTAACAGAGTTAAAAATTACATTAGAATGCATTGATTATATCTGTGAAAATATCACGTTCTAGCAAACTGCACTGATTGTAATATGAAGGATTTACAATAATTTTTTAATAGCTTGCAAATTTCATAGATATATYAAAATCACTCTACTGAACTGAGGATACCGTACTCTTCTCGTTACGAAGATTTGGAGTAACGCACTCGACTTGAAGTCCTTGAAGACCCAAGTGTTACCTCTGCCACGCCCACCTCGTAACTCGATATAACTAAAATACTTTAGTATGTTTAAAAGCACCGGATGCATATCCCGATGCAACTGCAACAAGTGTGCAAAAGTATGCAAAAACGTAGAGCATTATGGGGAAAGAAAGACTTCGGATTGAATCACAACAAAAAGACTTAGCGGTCTACCCTTAGTTCAGAAGACAACAGTAAGGTAAGCATACAGTATTTATTACTGACACAATTCACTAAATATTTATAAATATAGTTAAATATGAAGGCTAGACACTAGAAAGCATGTTATTACAAACTGGAAATTATTGATTCAAAGTTGGTTACACAACATAGACTGTTACTGCATCAAGGCTCACTGGACTGTTTGTTAAGACAATAAATGGTACGAACACTTAAGAACAGTTTAGGTAATATGTTCAATATATAGATTTCCGAAAGATTRTCCTTGACATTTTAAAAAACTACCAATCAGCCACATCGTGTCTTTTTAACTTATGACATGTTATGAAGTAGACTGATTATAATTATTCTATTAGTCAATAACGTTTTCGTTATACACTTTAATAACCATTTGATTTTGCTTCACAATTTTTGCTTCAACAAAACCATCTTGCATTTACTGTATGAGATATTTATATAATAACTAATGAATTCATCAATCTTTTCAGTACACAGAATTACAACATATTAAGAATATCTTATATACAAAGAAGTTGTTACAAAGAACAGTAAAAAACACTTATCTGCAAAACAAAAAGGACATACTTGTGCAAGAAATAGAGAATATTACATGGAAACACACAGTTATGGATTTTATCTTAACAAATTGATAAGATCTTTCACAAGAAGCAAAAGATGAAATCCATATCACCTAGCAACCATGTAATACGGTTTTTATCATTCGCAAAAGTAAATCATCATATAAAATAACTTTTATTTAGCCTAAATATAAATGAGGTACCACAAATGAAAGCAAATTTTCAAAAGAAAGAAACATAAGTATATTTCATGTAATATTAYGATAATTGTACTTCTTCTATGGCTTCAGCCCATGACACAGCATCTGGAATCCAACAAAATGCTGTTTCTCGAATACGGAATGCATACAATGGAAATGGAATCCATTGAGGAACCCAAATTAGTGAGTCAATGATGACAAAAAAGCTATGGTACTTTGCCTTTTGAAACCCATATGGTGAAATCCAGAATCCTTGTGAAATTTTTCATGGAATCCAGAAACAGCAACTGGAAATCTTGAATCCAGAACCTTGGAATCCAGCTTCCAGGAATGCCCTGTATTTCTGTGTCATGGGACAACATGTTTTTCACTATCCATGAAATTCAATATAATTTAGTTCTACTATTCCAGACAAAAATGATACCAGTACACAAAACAGAACAGGTTAGAAGGTATGATACCTTTACAGCATTGTAAAGAGGAATCCAAATTTGCTGCATTTATTTTGGCAGACTCAATTTGGATCATAGTGAAGATGCAAGGGAAATTTATCCCTAACGATTAGAACTGCATAACACGTTGATTGTAATCACAGCTTAAGGTTGACGGTTATAAAAAATATGTTTTTACAAATGAAATGACAATTGTCTTGTTTGGTGTTATGAAGATGGAGGAGGAGGGGGTGGTGGCGGTGGTGCTGCCATAATTGACTGGCTTCCCTAGAAAAATAAAAGCACTCAAACCATCAATCAGAATGCTTAAATGTATTCGTAGTAAATAGGTATATACTCACCCATGGACTGTCTGTTGGTGGAGGAGGGGGAGGAGGTTGAAACTGTGTAAATGTTGGTGGTGGCGGTGGTGGTGGAGCGAATCCTTGAGGGCGGCCTACTTGCCATGGAGGGACGTTTCCAGCTGAAAGACAAAATTATAAAGCAGTTACAGTACACTTACCCGCTTATAAGACCCTGCAATTTAAGAACCTGTTAGCCTAAAAATATCAATTTAGACTCCACTCCATTTACACAAGAACCTATTTAGCCTAAAATTTGAAACAGGTTCTTAATTCTTACAGAAATCAACCTAAAAAATCTTTATGCAAAAAAAACTCAAACTGTAATGAACTTGAACATGTATATACTTTTAAATTGGGTATAAATAATGTTTGAAAACCTTGTAAATTTTCATTACATAAGGGATAAAATAAGAACCTATTTTTTAGAACCTGCGTTGCCTAAAATTCCACTAAGCACCATTTACATAAGAACCAGTTTAGGCTAAATTAAAAAAAATGGGTTCTTATAAGCGGGTAAGTACTGTATCTACAATGCATGTATAATGCACTAACAAAAAACTTTCCTTTTTGTACTTATGAATGTAAATRACCACTTTATTAAAAGAAAACTTTTCAGTATACGTCTCGTTAACTTTATTCAAAATGCAATTTAGGTATGCATTATTTCAAGGTATAAATTGTTTAGGTTAATATACTTCTGATGGAAGAAACGTTGTGGGGTTCAACAAAGGCTGTACACATGTACCATTGAAGCTAAGAAATTAATAAAAATAATTGGTAATATATTACATGTATACTAGTGTTTCAGTTCCCAACACTTTCTGCACTATGAGATATTAGTTGATAATGTACATGCTTAGAGAAATATGATTCAAAATTCCAAGTACCCAAAATACTTTTTGGTCTTACATGTATCTGTGATGATCTTACTTTTTTGAACCTGATAACGTTTTTTATTTAAGTGTATACAATAGAAGATTCACTATTAGTTCCAGGAAAATAGTACTAAAAAAACTTACAAGTCTGCCATGGAGGTGCTTGAGTTCCTGTGGCCGGTGGTGGTGGTGGTGCCTGAACACTGCTAACAGGAGACTGGAAAGGTACCCTGGGTGTATCTAAATTATATAATATAATTACTGCACCCGTCTTCATGAAAAGAACAAGGGAAATACAGTACTATTTTCCCTTAGGTTTTGGAGACAATTACTCACTAATGTCTCTAATAGTCATGAATTTCTTGTAATTATGAGATTTCAAAAATACTTATTATTTTATGATAAGATTGAAAGACAAATGTTAATGCATGGACCTCATTAAAGTACTGAATAACAACAATGCCTGTACTGTTGACTTAGCTAGCACTATCTAACATTCTAGAGTGACATTCAGAAACAAAAAACTGGAGACCAAAATATCAAAACTGCAGCCTTACTTATTCCATGTGGATGACCAGGGGGAGGTAATAGACCTTGCTGCTTGCTCCATGGTGGTTGAGGTGGCCCTCCTGACCCATTAGCAGGTGGTCGTATATTTGGTCTTGGTACTGGTGTACTCATTAATGGTTTAGGTGCATTCCAAGGGGCAGCTGGTGCTGGATTCTTCAATGAATTAAGCATAATGAATGATTTATTCATAAGGTATTCATTTATAACTCATGTCTTGTACTTACTGCTAATGGTGGCTTGGCTGGAACAGGAAGAGGTGCAACCTCTATTGGTGGTGGTGGAGGTGGTGGTGCAGCAACTACAGGGGGTGGTGGTGGTCCTTCTCCTAGTTCAGCCATTAAAGAAAGATACTAGATGGGAAAAACAAAATTGATGTGTTGGTAAGACAATGAGTAATAAAAATATTGATTGATTAGATTGTTTGTAACATTATGAAAGACTTACTTCACTGTCCATCTTTGCTTTGTCAACTTGTATGTTGGGTATAGGTGCAATTCCCCTGCAACACAGATGTTATAGCTGACATGAGATCTGGCCAACTATGTTTGTTTCCACCAAGTTCACCTCACTCACTTCTCAGATACATGTAGCATGATCATTATTTTTATCAATTATCATCAGTTACAGTTTGGTATTTACATATAAACTTAATGTACATTGTCGTATTGCACTACTTTGTACAAACTAGTTGATAACACCCAATCAGAACATGGCAATAGATATACATTTCTTTGTTAATGATTTATTAACTAATAGTGCATCACTAATCCTATTGGGCACTAGTTGTTTCATTGATACATGCCATGCACTCTCATGCAAACAGACTTTCCAAGTATCTTTGTATTTAGTTCATTCTATATAATTAGATATATATATTTTACCCACAGRAAAAAAAATAACAAACAAGCAAATATCAGTTTGTTAAGAATGTAAGTAAAGGTTCTACAACATGGTACATGTAAAGCTAACATGTAAATATGATTTCTGTTGATCAACAAAATTTCAGTATATTTAACAAAATAGAAATACAAATACAAGCAACTACAGWTGACTTACTCCTTCTGTACACAATCATTTGCTAGATGACCAGCTCCTCCACATTTTGTACAAATTACACTGTTTGTAACATTCCTTTGTTCTGGACATTCCCAGTGACGATGGTTTGCAGCACCACAATTTCTACATCGACTAAATTCAACAATTCAAACAGTCAGTTGACTAGTATACTAATAACAAACAGTGGTCCATGGCATTCTACCTGAGCAGTTCATCTTCTCGTAATGTTCCATTCAGGGCCGCAAGCTCTCTTAACTGCATTCGCTTTAAATCGTTTTGCCCTTCTGGTGCCTCAATACCTTGCTTTAATATGTCTTGAATCTAAATAAACATCGAGATTAGCAAAAGCAAAATTGTAGAACTCTTTACAAATGAGATTTTTGTCTGCAAAAAGGATTATTCATTATCAATCTGTTATATTAATTACCATAGCAACAGCTTTAGCAACAGATTCATGGGTTGGTCCAGTAACCAAGGCATGCAATTCTTCATCTTCACCAGAGTTTTGCTGGTTAATGTTACCACCTTTTTGCCAAACCTTAAAAATGAATGCACACTGTAAAATGAATCCATTGAAAGGGATATTCATCAAAATGATAATTGAAAACACAAGTAAAAGACAAATACAAAATAAAGGTATCAACCTTTCCATCTTTGATAGATCCTTTTCCTCTTATCATTATCTTTGCATTACTCTAAAATGTAATAGTAGGTAACATGAATCAAATCTCCTCTGATACTTGGGCAGCTCAGTCAGGAAGACACTTATAATTATATAATTATTAATTGCCAATGGGATTACAGCTTCTACCTCAAAACTATTCCTTCCTCTATCTATTTATTTCAATACAACATGTAACACATCAAAAGCCATCATCATTACCTCTTTTTCCATGTTCTTTAATGTGTTCCCCCTGTCAATAAAACACTATGTCAATGAAATTTTGAGGAGCATCCAGTCCAAGGGCAACTATCACAGCATTCATGCAGTGCCCATGATCTAAACTGCTCTATTGTTCATATTCTTCAATAACAGTGTTTTCTGAAGTTCCAGGTTTTATGCCAATTAATTAAGTGCTTAGGGCACAAATCACTAACCTTGGTCCAATTAATAAGCCAATAAAGTTAACTT